TTTAGTTTTGATTCAAGTTCAGTTTTGTTTTTTGTTTCGTTCCTATAGGCTTTGATTCAAGTTTTGTTGTACGAGCAAATCCACTTGCATTGTTTCCTTTATAAACATCATGTTATTATACACTTAATGTCTGCATGGTCTGGAGGGAGATAGTTTCTTTTGTTTCCCGAGAGTCGCAATGTTTCCCGAGACGATGTCGAGGGAAACATTGAGATTCGAGGGAAGTAAAATGGCATGTCCAGTTGACTTGAGGTTACCTATGGTTTAATTATTGATGCCTAGCCTTCGATACCCCATAAAAGAGAGTAAAGAAAAAAATATCTGAAAGTTTTATGTACATTTCCTATATAAAGTTCACAGGTTCGACTACTTTTTTTTGACAACTACAATTTTTAATTTAAAGAGAAAACTTTGTCTTGCTTATACAAACAACAATTTTCATTAAAAATAATTACTATATTCGACGGATGGTTTTATCCGGCCTTCCTACTACGCATGTGAGAATGCAAATTTGGATGAGCATTGGATTACAAATTCGCAAAAGTTAAGTTTCTCTTGCTTTGCTGGGTAGAGTAAACCGCTTCTCTAATTTGCCCATCAAGTTTTTTATGGATTCATTGCATTGTAAAGAACTTAGTTATGAATTAGGCTATGAATCCAAGTCTCTGAGACCCCTCTTGTAATTAATATTAATGTTAACATTTCTAATTTTAATCTAATTTAGCTTGTCCCAGTGCTCCGTGCTTGAATGGTGGGAATTGTTCCAGTAATGGAACATCATTCTCTTGCTCATGCCCGGTTAGATTTAGCGGCGACCTCTGCGAAATAGAAGGTAAATATTATTTTCAAAAACTTACTAGATGTATTTTATTCTGTTTCCATTCTTTTAATATTTCTGGGAAGAATTTTGTTTAATTAAGTTTTAATTCGTCTCTAACAGTGAACTCTTGTTAAATACTAAACTCTTGTTAATTCATCAGCTCTTGTTGAATTTAAAATATGCTCGAGAATTCGGTGATCAACTTGGTACGCAGTTGTTCTTGCTTGCGCGCTTGGATAGTCAGCAAAAAGGTTATGACCTCGGATGGTAAAAACCACACCCTGAAATTTGGGGCGTTTGGTATAGTTTATCGGAAATTTATGCACGAATATTAGCATTTAAATTTGCTATATATAATCAAACAGAAGCGAGAGAATAAGTTGATTTTATTAATTGCACCTCTTTAAGCAAAAAAACACAGGAACGTTTGCCAGGTTTCGGTGTACGGGTACGAGTAGTGTCATCTTGTTTTACTGATGTCTGTAATTCGATCATACTTTTTCTGTTTTCTTGCAATAGACAATGATATAATGAGAAAAATGTGCACCTTAATTACGAGTAAAGGTACAGACATCGACGAAAATATTGCTAACCAAAATCATGCTACTCGTACCCGTACACCGAAACCGGGGTATCTTAACCTCTCTATTGATGACCTTCAACCCAGTTAGGCTTTGATTCAAGTTTTGTTGTAGAAGCAAATCGGCTTGCATTGTTTCCTTTATAAACATCATGTTATTGTATACATTTAATATTTGCATGGTCCCGAGGGAAAGAGTTTCTTTTGTTTTCCCGTGAGTCTCAATGTTTCCCGAGACAAAGTGGAGGGAAACATTGAGATTTGAGGGAAAACAAAACTAAGTATTTTCCGAGAGAACAGAAATTTAGCGTTTTGTTATATAGGGACGAACAAAAATCAACATTGAACAACATTCATACAACAATTGTTTTTCGTGACAAGAAATCTATAGTGTAAACGAGTTTAAAATTAAAAGAACCTACGTAAACGGTTTCAGCAGCGTATCCTGTCGCCTGTTGTGCATTTGTCTTCTCTTTTACATTCTTTATTTGAACACAAACGTGGAAAATCGTAGTTTCTAATAGGCAATTGCAGCTTTTAGTTTATGCCTGTAGGGGATGATGGGAAGTAAGGTATCATATTGCCGATTATGCTGAAAAATTTCAATAAAAACTACCGAGACAACCGAAATATTTCAATATTTACAAGTATAAGCTATCACTCCGTGTTTACACGGCCACCATTTTTATTTTTTCAGCATAATCAGCAATGTGATACCTTACTTCCCGTCGTCCCCTGCACGCATAAACTAAAAGCTGGAATTACCTATTATGCTAGTTGTGCCGCCATTTTGTTTATTTATGTACGTAGCCGGTCGGGACTGGCAACAATTTTTCACTTGTTGCCCTGCGGGGTACATTGCATTTATCTGAAGTCACGTGACCACAAATCAGCCAATCACGTTTGGTGTTCACCCTAGCTATATAACAAGAGTGAATATATTCCTATCAGACCTGTATTTGACTGGAACGTTATAGAGCATGCCTCTCTTGAAATGGACGATGTATCAAGATGCATGTCAGAACGTATGTTCATCCAAACCAAATACTCATCTATACGAAGCGCGCAAAATATATTTTTGGACCAAATAGTTGTTTAAATTGTCAATGAATTTTGCTTTTACAACCGTTGGAAAAAATCTAAAAAGTCGTATTTAAACTCAAAACTTTATCCCTTCAAGAACTGAAATTGTCAATGCACTTTCATACGAAGCTGATAATAATTATTCTCACATTGAATAATTAGATTAAAAATCATTGACCAATCAGGTTCCAAAACACACCAGCCGAACCCACTCACGGCCTTTTTCGCTGAACATTCGACCACAGAAACAAAACCCTTGTGTACGAGGTTGGCACTACAGTAGGTGGGTGTTAGTGGGTTGACATGCAGCAATAAAATACGTTAGTCTTCCAACAATTTCATAGTTTGGAGATGACATCCAATTATAAAGAACTAGCAAGTGCGTTGTTAACTAACTCTTATATTCCATAGCTCAAATTTTTTACACATTCCACATTCATTGGCCCTATAACAAGCTTGGCATGTCCAGTTGACTTGAGGTCACCTATAGTTTAATTATTGATGCCTAGTCTTCGATACCCTATAAAAGAGAGTAGCGAAAAAAATATCTGAAAGTTTTGTATGCATTCCACATATAAAGTTCAAAAGTTCGACTATTTTTTGTGGCTACTACAATTTTTAATTTATGCCAACAACAATTTTACAAACTTGCTTAAACAAACGACAATTTTAATTAAAAGTAATCACTGTATTCGACGGATGGTTTTATCCGGCCTTCCCATATACTACGCATGTGAGAATGCAAATTTGGATGAACATTGCATTACAAATTCGCGAAAGTTACGTTTCTCTTGCTTTGCTGGGTAGAGTAAACAGCTTCCCTAATTAGCCCATCAAGTTTTTTATGCATTCATTGCATTGTAAAAAACCTGGCCTGCTGGCGGAGGCCATAAATCTAAGTCTCTGAGACCCCTCGTGTAATTAACAGGAATTTTAATATTTTCAATTTTGATATATGCTGTGTTGGTGTAATGTACTCAGGTGAATAAGATACTTGTGTAATGTTACTCTGAGTGTATATCCACACCGGGCAGACTTGAAAAATATGCCTGGCCACGGTGGGAATCGAACCTAGGCCTACGACCTTTGGAATACTAGCCCAATGCTCTGCCAACTGAGCTACGCGGTCAGGTCGGTTCGAGTATGCGATCTTTCGGAACTGAGTCTAGTTCCTTTGATATCAGTGTAATGGTCCAAAGGTCGTAGGTTCGATTCCCACCGTGGCCAGGCATATTTTTCAAGCCTGCCCGGTGTGGATATACACTCAGATTAACATCACACAAGCATCTTATTCACCTGTGTACATTACACCAACACAGCAAATATCATGATTATTAGATTACACTGATATCGAAGGAACTAGACTCAGTTCCGAAATATCGCATACTCGAACCGACCTGACCGCGTGGCTCAGTTTGCAGAGCATTGGGCTAGTATTCCAAAGGTCGTAGCTTCGATTCCCACCGTGGCCAGGCATGTTTTTCAAGCCTGTCCGGTGTGGATATACACTCAGAGTAAAGGCTAATTTCCACTCAGGAAAATTATCCGTGGATTGGAACGGACAAGAACATTTTTTATTTTTCTTTGTGTTAAAGTCATTAGTTCCAACCCAGAGCTCACAGGACAGAGAAAAATGTTCTTGTCCGTTCCAATCCACGGATAAATTTCCTGGGTGGAAATTAGCCTTAACATCACACAAGCATTTAATTTTAATCTAATTTAGCTTGTCCCAGTGCTCCGTGCTTGAATGGTGGGACTTGTTCAAATGATGGAACATCATTCTCTTGCTCATGCCCGGTTAGATTCAGCGGTGACCACTGCGAAATAGAAGGTAAATATTATTTTCAAAAACGTACTAGATATATTTTTTCTGTTTCCATGCTTTTCATTTTTCTAGGAAGAATTTTGTTTAATTAAGTTTGACTTCGTCTCTAACAGTGAACTCTTGTTAAATACAAAAGTCTTGTCAACTAATCAAGTCTTGTCAACTAATCAACTCTTGTTAAATTGAAAATATGCTCGAGAATTCGGTGATCAACTTGGTACGCACTACGCAGTTGTTCTTGTTTGCGCACTTGGATAGTCAGCAAAATGGTTCTTCCCTCGGATGGTAACACCACACCCTGAAATTTGGGGTGTTTAGTCTCTGAGACCCCTCGTGTAATTAACATGAATTTTAACATTTTTAATTTTAATCTAATTTAGCTTGTCCCAGTGCTCCGTGCTTGAATGGTGGGAATTGTTCCAGTAATGGAACATCATTCTCTTGCTCATGCCCGGCTAGATTTAGCGGTGACCTCTGCGAAATAGAAGGTAAATATTATTTTCAACAACGTACTAGATGTATTTTTTCTGTTTCCATTCTTTTATTTTTCTAGGAAGAATTTTGTTTAATTAAGTTTTACTTTGTCTCTAACAGTGAACTCTTGTTAAATACTAAACTCTTGTTAGCTAATCAATTCTTGTTAAATTTAAAATATGCGCAAGAATTCGGTGATCAACTTGGTGCGCTGTTGTTCTTGCTTGCGCGCTTGGATAGTCAGCAAAAAAGTTCTGCCCTCGGATGGTAACGCCACACCCTGAAATTTGGGGTGTTTGGTATAGTTTATCGGAATTGGATGCACAAGATTTAATAACTTTGTTGCTTAAAAACCATACACACTTGCATCATCCAAGCACTACTGTATATACTGCTAAATACAAGAATGTAGTAATTAGTTAAAAAAACAACTGGTGGCCAAACAGGGCATTGCCCCAATTGAACATGACTACCAATTTAAAAACCTATTAAAGAGTTTATATATACCTAACATTTGCTACTATATATTTATATATACATATTAACAACTAATGGAACACTCTGCAAACTACTTATGTGGCAGTTCATAAACATTAAGTTCTATATAAAATTTCTTAAGAAGTCTAGACTTAAAAATACTAGAGCTGTCAATTGCTTTGAGATCACTATCTAACGAGTTCCACATTGTCACAGCTCGAGGAAAATACGAGTTTTTAAAAAATTCAGTTCTACATTTAAATTCAGTGAAATTATTCACGTCATGTGACCTAATGTTATATCTAGGAGCAAGTCGACTTTGTACATAATCTGGTAAATGTATATCCAATAGACCTGTTCTACATTTATGAAAGAATAACAAGTCTTTCATACTTCTCCTGACATCAAGTGGTAGAAGGTTAAGTTTTATCAAACGTTCTTTATATCCAGTGTCAGGGTAATTTAAAATAAACTTTGTAGCTCGTCGTTGCACCGCTTCCAACATAAGCTGGTATTTTACTTCTGACGGGGACCACAACTCTGATGAAAATTCCAGCTGCGGCCGGAGCAATGTAAGGTAGAGGAGCTTCCTGACAGTTTGATCTTCAAAGTCTCTGCAGGTTCTTTTGATCAACCCGAGTGTTCGATTTGCTTTTGCCGTAATCTCTGCAATATGCTTCCCCCAACGAACATCGTCACTCACAGTTATTCCAAGATCTTTGGTGGTTTTTACCAATTCGAGAGATTCGTGTCCCAATATGTAATCACTCACGTGCGACTGGATTTTTTTTCGCGACAACCTCATGACTTTACATTTATTTGTATTAAATTTCATACGCCACGTTTCTGTCCAAGAGTTCATTTCATTTAAATCTAGCTGTAAATTTTCAGTATCCGCATCCGATTTTATTGTTCTATATAATTTTGAGTCGTCAGCATATAATGCCATTTCTGTTGGTTGCTGAATTTGATCCGGAAGGTCATTAATGTACAATATAAAGAGCAGTGGACCGAGAATAGATCCCTGTGGAACTCCAGAAGTCACATCGAGCCATTCAGAATAATGACCGTCAAGCGCAACTCGTTGGATCCTTCCTGATAAGTAACTTTTAAACCAGTTGAAAATAGAACCGTAGAAACCGTGTTTGCTTAATTTACGGAGCAATAAATGGTGAGATACCTTGTCAAACGCTTTTTGGAAATCAAGATAAATTACATCAACAGAGTGTTTATTGTCCAGTGCTTTAAGAATCTTGTGATACACTTGGATTAACTGTGTTGTGCAATTTCTGCCTCGTAAGAAGCCATGTTGTAAATGGTGTGCAATTCCGGAAATAGAGTCATAACACCGGTTGTAGATGCATTTTTCCAACACTTTCGAGACTATGCATAGCAGAGAAATCGGCCTATAGTTTTCAACGCAATGCACGTCGCCAACTTTCGGAACCGGAGTGACGTTCGCCTGTTTCCATATGGATGGAACTTCTCCTAATCTTAGAGAAAGGTTAAAAAGGCGTGTTAGCGACGGAGTTATTTCGTTTGCAACCGTCTTAAGAAGCCTTGCAGAGATATCATCAGGTCCACCCGTTTTCGTCTGGTCTAGGTTTAATAAACAATCTAGCACTTCACTCTCGTTTAAAACAATTTGACCTAGACTGTTGTCTACAATTTCACAATTTTCCTCACTGCGGTATTTATCACTAGATTCTGGGGAAACCCCTGAATTGAACACAGAGTGAAAAAAACTGTTCAGGAGATTAGCTTTATCCTTGCCGTCTGTGGCGAATACATTTCCGTATTTCAGAAATTGAGGAGTGCTATATGCTCTAGTTTTTGCTTTAATAAATGTCCAAAAACGTTTCGGATGTTCAGATGTTAGCATTTAAATTCGCTATTATCAAAGAGAACCGAGAGAATAAGTTGATTTTATTATTCTATTCCCTTCAAACCCTAGTTTTTTATTCAAGTTTAGTTTTGATTCAAGTTCTGTTTTGTTTTTTGTTTCGTTCCTACAGGTTTTGATTCAAGTTTTGTTGTACAAGCAAATCCACTTGCATTGTTTTCTTTATAAACATTATGTTATTATACACTTAATGTCTGGTTCCGAGGGAGATAGTTTCTTTTGTTTCCCGAGAGTCACAATGTTTGCCGAGACGAAGTCGAGGGAAACATTGAGATTCGAGGGAAGTAAAATGGCATGTCCAGTTGACTTGAGGTCACCTATGGTTTAATATTGATGCCTAGCCTTCGATACCCAGTAAATGAGAGTAACGAAAAAAATATCTGAAAGTTTATGTACATTTCATATATAAAGTTCACAGGTTCGACTACTTTTTTTTGACAACTACAATTTTCAATTTAAAGAGAAAACTTTGTCTTGCTTATACAAACAACAATTTTCATTACAAATAATTACAAAATTCGACGGATGGTTTTACCCGGCCTTACTACTACGCATGTGAGAATGCAAATTTGGATGAGCATTGGTTTACAAATTAGCAAAAGTTAAGTTTGTCTTGCTTTGCTGGGTAGAATAAACAGCTTCCCTAATTTGCCCATCAAGTTTTTTATGCATTCAGTGCATTGTAAAGAACTTAGTTATGAATTAGGCTATGAATCCAAGTCTCTGAGACCCCTCTTGTAATTAATATTAATGTTAACATTTCTAATTTTAATCTAATTTAGGTTGTCCCAGTGCTCCGTGCTTGAATGGTGGGAATTGTTCCAGTAATGGAACATCATTCTCTTGCTCATGCCCGGTTAGATTTAGCGGCGACCTCTGCGAAATAGAAGGTAAATATTATTTTCAAAAACTTACTAGATGTATTTTATTCTGTTTCCATTCTTTTAATTTTTCTGGGAAGAATTTTGTTTAATTAAGTTTTAATTCGTCTCTAACAGTGAACTCTTGTTAAATACTAAACTCTTGTTAATTCATCAGCTCTTGTTGAATTTAAAATATGCTCGAGAATTCGGTGATCAACTTGGTACGCAGTTGTTCTTGCTTGCGCGCTTGGATAGTCAGCAAAAAGGTTATGACCTCGGATGGTAAAAACCACACCCTGAAATTTGGGGCGTTTGGTATAGTTTATCGGAAATTTATGCACAAATATTAGCATTTAAATTTGCTATATATAATCAAACAGAAGCGAGAGAATAAGTTGATTTTATTAATTGCACCTCTTTAAGCAAAAAAACACAGGAACGTTTGCCAGGTTTCGGTGTACGGGTACGAGTAGTGTCATCTTGTTTTACTGATGTCTGTAATTCGATCATACTTTTTCTGTTTTCTTGCAATAGACAATGATATAATGAGAAAAATGTGCACCTTAATTACGAGTAAAGGTACAGACATCGACGAAAATATTGCTAACCAAAATCATGCTACTCGTACCCGTACACCGAAACCGGGGTATCTTAACCTCTCTATTGATGACCTTCAACCCAGTTAGGCTTTGATTCAAGTTTTGTTGTAGAAGCAAATCGGCTTGCATTGTTTCCTTTATAAACATCATGTTATTGTATACATTTAATATTTGCATGGTCCCGAGGGAAAGAGTTTCTTTTGTTTTCCCGTGAGTCTCAATGTTTCCCGAGACAAAGTGGAGGGAAACATTGAGATTTGAGGGAAAACAAAACTAAGTATTTTCCGAGAGAACAGAAATTTAGCGTTTTGTTATATAGGGACGAACAAAAATCAACATTGAACAACATTCATACAACAATTGTTTTTCGTGACAAGAAATCTATAGTGTAAACGAGTTTAAAATTAAAAGAACCTACGTAAACGGTTTCAGCAGCGTATCCTGTCGCCTGTTGTGCATTTGTCTTCTCTTTTACATTCTTTATTTGAACACAAACGTGGAAAATCGTAGTTTCTAATAGGCAATTGCAGCTTTTAGTTTATGCCTGTAGGGGATGATGGGAAGTAAGGTATCATATTGCCGATTATGCTGAAAAATTTCAATAAAAACTACCGAGACAACCGAAATATTTCAATATTTACAAGTATAAGCTATCACTCCGTGTTTACACGGCCACCATTTTTATTTTTTCAGCATAATCAGCAATGTGATACCTTACTTCCCGTCGTCCCCTGCACGCATAAACTAAAAGCTGGAATTACCTATTATGCTAGTTGTGCCGCCATTTTGTTTATTTATGTACGTAGCCGGTCGGGACTGGCAACAATTTTTCACTTGTTGCCCTGCGGGGTACATTGCATTTATCTGAAGTCACGTGACCACAAATCAGCCAATCACGTTTGGTGTTCACCCTAGCTATATAACAAGAGTGAATATATTCCTATCAGACCTGTATTTGACTGGAACGTTATAGAGCATGCCTCTCTTGAAATGGACGATGTATCAAGATGCATGTCAGAACGTATGTTCATCCAAACCAAATACTCATCTATACGAAGCGCGCAAAATATATTTTTGGACCAAATAGTTGTTTAAATTGTCAATGAATTTTGCTTTTACAACCGTTGGAAAAAATCTAAAAAGTCGTATTTAAACTCAAAACTTTATCCCTTCAAGAACTGAAATTGTCAATGCACTTTCATACGAAGCTGATAATAATTATTCTCACATTGAATAATTAGATTAAAAATCATTGACCAATCAGGTTCCAAAACACACCAGCCGAACCCACTCACGGCCTTTTTCGCTGAACATTCGACCACAGAAACAAAACCCTTGTGTACGAGGTTGGCACTACAGTAGGTGGGTGTTAGTGGGTTGACATGCAGCAATAAAATACGTTAGTCTTCCAACAATTTCATAGTTTGGAGATGACATCCAATTATAAAGAACTAGCAAGTGCGTTGTTAACTAACTCTTATATTCCATAGCTCAAATTTTTTACACATTCCACATTCATTGGCCCTATAACAAGCTTGGCATGTCCAGTTGACTTGAGGTCACCTATAGTTTAATTATTGATGCCTAGTCTTCGATACCCTATAAAAGAGAGTAGCGAAAAAAATATCTGAAAGTTTTGTATGCATTCCACATATAAAGTTCAAAAGTTCGACTATTTTTTGTGGCTACTACAATTTTTAATTTATGCCAACAACAATTTTACAAACTTGCTTAAACAAACGACAATTTTAATTAAAAGTAATCACTGTATTCGACGGATGGTTTTATCCGGCCTTCCCATATACTACGCATGTGAGAATGCAAATTTGGATGAACATTGCATTACAAATTCGCGAAAGTTACGTTTCTCTTGCTTTGCTGGGTAGAGTAAACAGCTTCCCTAATTAGCCCATCAAGTTTTTTATGCATTCATTGCATTGTAAAAAACCTGGCCTGCTGGCGGAGGCCATAAATCTAAGTCTCTGAGACCCCTCGTGTAATTAACAGGAATTTTAATATTTTCAATTTTGATATATGCTGTGTTGGTGTAATGTACTCAGGTGAATAAGATACTTGTGTAATGTTACTCTGAGTGTATATCCACACCGGGCAGACTTGAAAAATATGCCTGGCCACGGTGGGAATCGAACCTAGGCCTACGACCTTTGGAATACTAGCCCAATGCTCTGCCAACTGAGCTACGCGGTCAGGTCGGTTCGAGTATGCGATCTTTCGGAACTGAGTCTAGTTCCTTTGATATCAGTGTAATGGTCCAAAGGTCGTAGGTTCGATTCCCACCGTGGCCAGGCATATTTTTCAAGCCTGCCCGGTGTGGATATACACTCAGATTAACATCACACAAGCATCTTATTCACCTGTGTACATTACACCAACACAGCAAATATCATGATTATTAGATTACACTGATATCGAAGGAACTAGACTCAGTTCCGAAATATCGCATACTCGAACCGACCTGACCGCGTAGCTCAGTTTGCAGAGCATTGGGCTAGTATTCCAAAGGTCGTAGCTTCGATTCCCACCGTGGCCAGGCATATTTTTCAAGCCTGTCCGGTGTGGATATACACTCAGAGTAAAGGCTAATTTCCACTCAGGAAAATTGTCCGTGGATTGAAACGGACAAGAACATTTTTCTTTGTGTTAAAGTCATTAGTTCCAATCCAGAGCTCACAGGACAAAGAAAAATGTTCTTGTCCGTTCCAATCCACGGATAATTTTCCTGAGTGGAAATTAGCCTTAACATCACACAAGCATTTAATTTTAATCTAAATTAGCTTGTCCCAGTGCTCCGTGCTTGAATGGTGGGACTTGTTCAAATGATGGAACATCATTCTCTTGCTCATGCCCGGTTAGATTCAGCGGTGACCACTGCGAAATAGAAGGTAAATATTATTTTCAATGTATGTATTTTTTCTAAGTCTTGTCAACTAATCAACTCTTGTTAAATTTATAATATGCTCGAGAATTCGGTGATCAACTTGGTACGCACTACGCAGTTGTTCTTGTTTGGGCGCTTGGATAGTCAGCAAAATGGTTCTGACATCGGATGGTAACACCACACCCTGAAATTTGGGCTGTTTAGTATAATTTATCGGAACCATTTCCGATAATGAATCCAGGTCGCTGAGACCCCTCGTGTAATTAACATGAATTTTAACCTTTTTAATTTTAATCTAATTTAGGTTGTCCCAGTGCTCCGTGCTTGAATGGTGGGAATTGTTCCAGTAACGGAACATCATTCTCTTGCTCATGCCCGGCTAGATTGAGCGGTGACCACTGCGAAATAGAAGGTAAATATTATTTTCAAAAACTTACTAGATGTATTTTTTCTGTTTCCATTCTTTTATTTTATTTTTATAGGAAGAATTTTGTTTAATTAAGTTTTACTTCGTCTTTAACAGTGAACTCTTGTTAAATACTAAACTCTTGTTAACTAATCAATTCTTGTTAAATTTAAAATATGCGCGGGAATTCGGTGATTAACTTGGTATGCAGTTCTTGCTTGCGCGCTTGGATAGTCAGCAAAAATGTTCTGCCCTCGGATGGTACACGACACCCTGAAATTTGGGGTGTTTAGTAAAATTTATCGGAAATTGATGCACAAATATTAGCATTTAAATTTGCTATAATCAAAGAGAAACGAGAGAATAAGTCGATTTTATTAATTGCACCTCTTTAAGCCAAAACACAGGAACGTTTGCCCGTAACATCGATGACCTTCAAAGCCTAGTTAGTCTTTGATTCAAGTTTTGTTGTAGAAGCAAATCGGCTTGCATTGTTTTCTTTATAAACATCATGTTATAAGCGAATATATTCGTACCAGCATCTTTATTTGACTGGAACGCTGTACAGCATGCCTTTCTTGAAATGGACGATGTTACGAAGATGCATGTCAGAAAAGTATGTTCATTCGAAACAAATACTCATCTATACGAAGCGTGCAAAGATTATTTTGGACGAAATAGTTGTGTAAAATTGTCAATGAAATCATTTTTGCTTTTACAATTGTTGGAAAAATCCTAAAAAGTCCTATTTAAACTCAACACCTTATCCCTTCAAGAACTGAACTCTCGTTGCACTAAGCTGATAATAATTATTCTCACATTGAATAACTAGATTAAAAATCATTGACTAATTAGTTTCCAAAACAGACAAACCATTTGGCGTGTCCAGTTGACTTGATGTCACCTAGAGTTTAATGATTGATGTATAGTCTTCGATACCCTATAAAAGAGAGTAACGCGAAAAATCTCTGAAAGTTTTGCATGCATTCCATATATAAAGTTTACAGGATCGACTGCTTTTTTGTGACCACTACAATTTTTAATTTATAAAGAGAAAAGTTTGTCTTGCTTTTACAAACAACAATTTTAATTTAAAGTAATCACTATATTCGACGGATGGTTTTATCCGGCCTTCCTGCTACGCATGTGAGAGTGCAAATTTGGATAAACATTGCATTACAAATACGCAAAAGTTAAGTTTCTCTTGCTTTGCTGGGTAGAGTAGGCAGCTTCCCTAAATAGCCCATCAAGTTACTTATGCATTGAATATAACTTAATTTGCTGGCGGAGGCTATGAATCCAAGTCTCTGAGACCCCTCTTGTAATTAACATGAATGTTAACATTTTTTATTTTGATGCAATTTAGGTTGTCCCAGTGCTCCATGCTTGAATGGTGGGAATTGTTCCAGTAATGGAACATCATGCTCATGCCTGGATCGATATACCGGTGACCGCTGCCAAATCGATGGTAAATATTATTTCCGACGTACTAGATGCATATTTTCTCTTTCTCATTTCTCTTTTCTCCATCTCATTTTGTGGAATTGAGGTTTATTTCATCACTAACAGTGCAGGCGCTTGTTAAATTGAAAATATCCTTGAGAATTGCTGGAGCAATGCTGGAGAAAATATATTTATATCCTGGCCAATCTAGTACCCAGTTATTTTTGCTTGCGCAGTTGGATGGTCAGCAAAAAAAGCCCTGTGCTCGTTTTGTCAGGTGACACCCTGAAATTTGGGTTTTAGTTTTCACTTTTTACACCACTATAAGCTAAAATACAGCAACATTTGCCCGTAGTATGGCTGTGATTCAATGTTTAAGAAAACACTTAAATTGAAAGTGGGTTGCGTGAAAAAATGGAAGTTCAAAACAAAATTTGAAATGATATGGGTCAAGTTGGAAAAGTGTTTT